CATGCTCTGCTGTTTTTAATGTAGCATATCCAATCACTCGTTAGAATACTTTCGCTGAACTTAATAATTCCTGAAAACATTGAATTTGCATGGATTTTATTGACATTTAGCGTAAGGGGATGGTAGATTTGTAACTACCTGATTTAACGCGGGGTCCTTATCCTTCTATACTTTCACTCTTAACTAATCAAACGGGCGAACAATGGAGTAATTGTGGCAGGTGTTCCACACTTCGGGGTCGGGTATGACTGGATGACGACGGCTAATAAGGTAAAAATGACCATTCCAATCTCCCTTGTCTTTGTCGGCAATGTCATTCTGCGTATATCATGTGATGCTGTGCGGCTGCTGGCTGGGCTTGAGAGAGAGTCCGTGGGGACACGACGGTCGAGTGAGTTCCGTAAGAAAGATAGGTGAGCTCCTTCACTAGACCCTTACCATGTATATTCATATATAACGGTCCCGTGGCTCAATGGCTACACTGTTAAACTTCTAATCAGCAGATCGTGAGTTCGAGCCTCGAGGGTTTCATATCTTGGGGTTAGGCATGGCTGGCCGATGACGGCCAACAAACCAGAAATGGCTATTTGAAGCTCCTACATACGCATAATCTGAAGTCGAGCTGGAGAATCAATCTCAAACATTTACACAATAAAGCCTACTGTTTTCCAAGTAATTCCATCTTCTTGATGTCCATATATGCAACTTTATTGAAGTTTTTAGGTACTTTGGGAAAATGGAGAACTTTATTAATGAGTTTCTGACGTCCGTTCCCCGGGTCGCCGTCAGACTTGAGTAAATGTACAAAAGACTTGCCGAATTTTCAAACGTGCCCAAAACCAATATCTTTCCGACGATTTTGCCAGTAAGCGTCCGCTGCATACCTTATTGTGTATCGATTGGTCTCGTTTTTACTACTTCTCCTTGAGATTCTTGTACTTAGCGTCTAACCCAATATACCGATTAATGCATGGCTCATTTGAGTGCATGGCTTCAAGAAATCCTCGGCTTTTTTGATAAGACAGACGCCGACGATGCCAGTCTTTTCTCATGCGAAAGCATGCTCGCTAGCTAACGTGTGCATAGCCATTTGAGATAGGTGGTTTCGCCTCTTAAAGGCCAACTAATGTTCGTGGATCCGTGTGGAGGTGGACTTTCCAGTTTGGCCACAATATACGGCATCGCACGCTTCACAAACGGAACACTGTTAACAGCTTGCTTCACCAAGCAAATACCACCTGGTTCACTTTCAGTTTATTTGAGGGAAACATAGGTATTGAACCTTTGGTGTCCCTATTTGTTACAAGGAAGCGAATTATATCAAAAATTTGAAAGAAAGCCCCGCACATCAGTGCAGGCTGCCAGCAGCCACTGCTGATCCTCCGACAGGCAGTAGAAATGAATAACACAGAGGAATTTTCCAGGGGCTCCGACGAGTGCAGGCCCCACCGGCCCCACAGGTCCGGACGCTGAGCCGGAGTGTAGGCTGGGGAGTAGACGCGACGAGCGTGCAAGTACTCTCTGGTAGCAGATATAACCACCTTCTTGGCAGCTGGCCCCATATCGGTGAGCGTCCGGTTGGCGTTTATGAGGCTGGATTCAATGAACCGGTCTACAAAGGAGTAGACTGACAGGGCCATAGACTTCAGACGAGGCAAGTAGTCTGAGGTTATGTGTTCCATCGGCAACAGCCGGAAGGAGACGCGCTGACGCCAGCTGTCGTGCAACAGGGAGAGGATACGAGTGCCAGCACCCACTAGCGCCTCCTTCGCAACAGCCGCAACCGCCCGAGCTGAGGACGTTCAATAGTCGAAACTGCGGAACACGGTAGCAGCGATGTCGGTTTCCCCTCGCAGTCCTATACCTATTGCCTCGAAGACCAGTCCGACCAGTGGAGAGGGCCCCTTGACCACTGCTTACGAGGGACCCCCGGTGGACAGCGATATCAATGCCAGCCTCTTCATCTACCTTGTCAGTCCCTTCACTCAGTTCGCGGACATGGACAAGGAGTTTCAACGTCTGACCACGCAGCCGCTAGTGGGTGCTGGCACTCGTATCCTCTCCCTGTTGCACGACAGCTGGCGTCAGCGCGTCTCCTTCCAGCCGTTGCCGATGGAACACATAACCTCAGACTACTTGCCTCGTCTGAAGTCTATGGCCCTGTCAGTCTACTCCTTTGTAGACCGGTTCATTGAATCCAGCCTCATAAACGCCAACCAGACGCTCACCGATATGGGGCCGGCTGCCAAGAAGGTGGTTATATCTGCTACCAGAGAGTACTTGCACGCTCGTCGCGTCTACTCCCCAGCCTACACTCCGGCTCAGCGTCCGGACCTGTGGGGCCGGTGGGGCCTGCACTCGTCGGA